GTTATATCTGAATAAGAATAACCAACTACTTTTAATTCTAATAAAGTTAATTGTATAATAATCTTAGTTGGCTACTTTAAAGAGTCGAAAGATCTTAAAATTAGCCCAAGAGTAGTTATTTTTTCTAAAATAAGGACACCATCGAGATGTACCTACAACAACATCAACGACGACAAAACAACTTACCATTATCATCATATTCAATTCCGAATAGTATACAACTTGGTCAACAATATCAATATGGTTATCAACAGCAACCTATGGTTTATCAACCATATGGTTTTGATTCATATAATATGCCATTAAATTGGCAAGTTCAAAATAACTGGATGGGAGGTACAGGAAGTTGGATAAATGGGCAACAACAAATGCCCTTACAACCACCACCATTCTATTATCCTATTGATAATACCAAGTTGACTACTGTGGTTCCTCCTTTTTTGAACCAAGTACAATATAAAGATGATTTAGTGATACCCTCAAAAAGACGTGGTATTCTGAAAATAAGGAAAGAACCGACACAACGTCGGTTAGTTCATTTTATGCCAGGAAATTGGCAAAAAAAGACCAAACCTGATAATCGTGGTAATAAACCAGATCAAATGAATAATAAAGGTCAAAAACAAAAAACAAAAAAATCACCTGAAAATGCTCATCTTGACACACTCCGTAGAAGAGCACGGCGTCAAGAACAACGAGCAGCTTTACTTGAAAAAAGTAATGAATTAGGTTGTTTCAACGGTAATAATCGTTTTAGTCTTCTATCTGATATAGATAATGACAACAACAATGATGAAGATACAACCGATAATTCAGAGGCTGATAATCAAACTGTAGCCATGAAAAATTATAAGAAGATTAAACAAAAAAACTTGTCTAGAAAACAAAAAAGACAAACTAGAACAACAACAGAAGTTCCGATAATTAATGAACATGTTGTTAATAATAATATAAAGACGCGAGGAAATAACCAGCGTCAAATAAATTTTTCTGATTCTAAAAAAAAAGAAGAAGAAGAAAATAATAATGAAAAATCACCTTCTTTAAATAAAGATAAACGAAAATGTAAAAGTTATTTACAAGCTTTTAAAATTCTCGCTTATCTAAAAGATCGTGTGAATAAAGATAATAAAATAAAACTCGACATTAAAGATGTTTTCAATGAAGTATGTGAATATGCAAAAAATACCATTGAAACATATGATAGTTGGGTACATAATCATTACGAAGCCCAAGTCTGGCAACATATCTATGATTTAGGTAAAGAAAAAGATCATTGGGCTAAAGAAATAGTAAATATAACACATACACGGGAGGCTAAGATAAATGTGTCAATATGTGAGAAGAAATTAGCACAATTGACATCGACATGTTTCGATGCTAATAATATAATTACACGAAATATGCGAGAACTTTCATCTAAAACAGCCACTGTTGCTACACAACGAGTACATGATCTTATACTCGATTATATTAAAGAGGCTACACAAGGTTTAGCTAAAATGAGCATTAATAGAATTCGTCGTGCTTCGATTGAAAAAGACGAATGGGATGCTCTAAAAACATTTGAAAATGTTGCATCAGAACAACAGAAAATGTATGCTAAAACCTTTTGTAAATCAACATTAATTAACTACCATAAGAAAAAGAAAAATTTTGAATTGGTAGCTGCACATATATCAAATGATATAATACCGAAAAACTTACCAAAGTATGACTTTAATCTTCCTGTGGACGAAAATTCACTTTCAAGTGAACAAGTCCAGGAGACTAGAGAAAACATACATAATTTATCAAAAGATTTTCGTCTTAAAGCAACAGAACTCTATCTAAAAATCGTCAAAGAAGAATTTGAATTTCAAAAAGAAAGATTACAAAAACTTATTGATGATTTTCCACAAGATAGATATGAAGTACCATCAACACAAATTAATACAAATGTTGTTGTTGATGATGATGATGATGACGAAGAACCTTTAGATAATAGGGTTTTTACTCAAAAACCATTATCACAACAACGACAAGAAACTATAAATAATCAAAAAGGTTCTGAATTATTTAAAAAATATATTGTAATTGCACATAAAAGAGCTCAATTAGAAATTGAAAGAGAAGTGCATTTTTTATCCGAACGAGGCGTCCAAGAGACGCCAGTCGGGACACAAGAGCCAAAAGATCTAAATCCAGTAATGCGAATGGATTTTTTGCTCCAAGTATAATAAATCAATCTGATATAAATTTAAATAGGAGAGAAGAGGCCCTCCTAAAATTAGGCCCGAAATATATTCCTAATAACCCTCATCTCGCTCATAAACGTATGAGAGCTGAGATAGAGTTGGTTATGAAAAAGATTGATAAAATATTCATTGAACATGGATGGATACTACCTAAACAACGAATACAGATCTTTATAGACTCGCTCGAAAAGATCTTAACTGATTGTCATGGAAGACATCCGTCATCTGTTCAATTAAAAGAAATCAATAATTTAAGAAATAAATTTGAAGCCACACAAACAGTCATCAGAAAGACAGATAAGTCTAAAGTTTTTCATTTAGGAAAGCTGGATGACTATAAAGTGAAGGCTCAAACATATATGATTAAGACTGAAGCTTATCAAGATTTGGGTGCAATAAACCCACTTGAATCTTTAGTTGAACGCACAAATAAGTTCCTTTATGGTTTATGGTATAATAAACATATTACACAAAAACAATATGAGAAATTAAAGGTTAATCAAGAAGAGGCTGAATTAGCCCACCTTTATTTCTTACCGAAAGCACATAAACCAGGAACACCATTAAGACCTATAATGTCTGGTCTCAAATCTCCAACCATTGCCATATCGAAATGGTTAGATAGTTTATTAAGACCTCTTTTCGATCGATTAGCATCTGAAACAGCTGTATTGAATGGGGTTCAATTAATAAAACAAGTTGAGAAATGGTCGGATAAATATCTTACACCAGCCACATCATTCATAACAATGGATGTTACTGATTTGTATACAATGATTCCTCAAGAAGGAGGAGTAACAGCCATAAAAAGATTAATTGAAACATCTGGTTTAAAACAAATCGATGGTGTTAAAAAAGAGATTATATTAGCTCTTACCAGATTTGTTATAACAAATAATTATTTCTATCTTGATGGGTCATATTATAAACAAATAAAAGGAGGCGCAATGGGCTCGCCACTCACCCTCACTATAGCAAATACATACATGTACTTTGTTGAACGTCCAATATTCAAATGGGCTCAAAGAACATGTTCATTATATTACAGATATATAGATGATTTATTTATCATGTCAAATGTACATGCAGATATATTAAAAGGTCTTGTAAAATTCTGGAATAGACTTGATAATAATATCGTATTTTCAGAATTCATAGGACATACTGCAGAGTACCTTGATGTTAAATTAGAGAACAGAGGAGGAAAATTGGTATCTGAAGTTTACTATAAACCATCATACGAACCATATTTCCTCCCTTTCACAAGCATACATGCACAACATATAAAAAAGAATATTCCTTATGTAGCTCTTGTTCGAGCAATAAGATATTCTTCGAGTTATGATACATTTAAACGTGAAGAAACTCATATATGTATGTCATTGCTTTTAAATAAATATCCATTACAATTTGTACTTGAACAATTTGAAAGAGTTTTACAAACATTTCAATGTGCGGTGTCAATAAAAAAGAATTATTCTGAAATAAGAAGAATCTTTTTAAATGCCGCAGATAATGATGAAAAGAAGGCTGAAATTGATTTCAAGGTCAATATTTTTTGTCATTTCTCTTTTTCAAAAGGAATGCAAGATTTTCCGACCAGATTTCATCAACTCTGGAACGATTGTTTTTCAGATACAGCCATTTGTAATATAAAACCGATTGTAGGTTCTAGAAGATTAGATAATCTTCAAGATTATCTTGTCAGAAAGAAACCAGATAAATCAGTACTTAAAATTAAATGAAATACTTACTTGATGTATATTTCATAGAAAGAAAACATCGCATAAGTGGTCTAATTTATATTTGGAACATTTCTTTGAGAGGAGTTCTAATAGTTTTTAGAACACTTCTCTAACATAGAAGTTCTGATAGATTTAGAACACTTCTCTAACATAGGAGTTCTAATCAATTTAGAACACTTCTCTTGTTTGCAGATATGTATATCTATGGTTGGTGCAATCGCAATAACGTTAACAAATAACACAATCGATAGATGGTTATTTTCGGTCCAAGATCATACCTATCTTACCAACAATGGTCCTTTCTGACCAAATAGCGCCGTTTTCTCTTTGTTGTTCGTTTTTCACGAGTAATTAGAGAGGTCCTTTCGACCATCTATTTTTCTTGTCAATCTTATAGGTCCTTTAGACCATAAGTTTTTGTTCTCTTTTTTGTTGTTGCTGTTGTATAAATTAATTTTTTCGGATTAGTTTTTTGTAAATTCTGATGACGTGTGGTTTAAATCACACAGAAACTAGTCAATAAATAAACATTTACAAAAACACAAAAAACTTTTTTATTTCATCTCGAGAGTAGTGAACTCATTAGAAAGAGGTTATATCTGAATAAGAATAACCAACTACTTTTAATTCTAATAAAGT